TTATATTTCAATTAGAGTATACAAATTAAAGTCATTACAAATTGAAGTTGTTCTGCTCGCTTATTTACAGCGGATGAAATAGTATTAAGATACATTTTAAATTCTTTAAAAAAAAAACAAGAAAAATTGGTTTGTTGGTAAATTTACACTTATGGATATAGAATTTGCCAAGAAAATATATTAAATTTATAACAAAACAAGCTTTGTTTTTATTAGAATCAAAATCAAAGTGTCCAAAAATAATATCTTTAAAAGTAACCGATAAATCTTGTTGGATATTATCTTTAATAAATGTTTCAATATCTTTCCATAGATGTTCAGTATAGAAACATGACCAAAATAAATGATAGACAGTTTCTGTGTGAACTTGGCAAAATGAGCATCTTGTATCAATATTGGTTTTATATTTAATCATAAAATATTTAACAGGGTAAAATGTATTTATTATTTTAAAAGACACTTCTTTTACTTTATTGGTGAGAAAATATTTTTGTTGTAAAGACCAAATCTTTTTCCATTTAAAATTTTTAAATAAACTATTCCAGTAAAAGATTGCAGGAGATATCGAGATAATATCTTCAATAAACAAGGATCTAACTTTATTGTTTCTATCTTTTTTTCCTGAAAAACATATTTTACCTATTGGATTGTCCATTGGCTCAGGGAAAGCAGGAGTTATTGAAGAAGATTGAGAGTAATTTTTAAAAAGCATACAGATTCCTGTTGGTATCGCTCCCATAACTATGGCAAATTCTTTGGGAGTAACTGGCATATTGTATCCTGAAAGAAATTCTGCGTAAGTCATTAGTAAACCTTTGTTGTTAAATAGCTGACAAACTAAAAGGAATCCGTTATTAAACCACTGATCAAAAAATAAAGTTCTCACATGTAGGCTTATCTACATAAAGAGATTGGGCCGCATAAGAGAGGCCTGAAAGTCCCTCAGCCTTAGTGAGCAAAACTCTTCCTTTAATAGCTAGATCCCTTTGAAGCCAGCAATTAAGTTTTTTCTGTTTTTTCAATAATCGGATTAAAGTTTGTTGCACATCTTTTTTCTTTAGTTATTTCTATACCAAGATATTTAACAGTGCTTTTAACAGCTATGCCACAGACTGAAGAGACATTACAACTTTTAATGGGAAATAATTCACATTTATCAATATTAAGGTTTAGACCAGAAGCTTTAGAAAATGACTGAAGAGTATTTAAGGCTATTGAGATTTGAGAGGAGTCTTCTAAAAACAATGCTGTGTCATCAGCTAATTGACTAATGATTAATTCTGCATTTCCAACAGTGATGCATGTTAGGTTACTCCTTTTAATATGTAAATTAAGAAATTGCACTGCAATTAAGAACAGATAAGGAGACACTGGGCATCCTTGACGCACACCACGATTTAGAGAAAAGGTGTTACCGTTGCTTGCTCTGCAGAGCTGTGTCTGTTTTCACACCCCAACGTGAAGTGCTGCATTGCTGCGACAGTTATAATGAACCTTAATATCCTTGCGCCTCCATCGGGTCATTTGATGCCTCACAAGCAAGAGAGCTGCAAACTGCTGGATGTTGAAGTTTTTTAACAGCTGGTAAGGGGGTTCAGGTCCAGAAAAACTTAAGATAGTTTACTGTAGCTGCTGATTTCAGCAAATCTGGAGAGTTATCCCATATTCACTGATTGTATGGTTCATTGCACTTTTATGGGGGTTGAGATAAAAAGATAAAGGGTCTAGTAAAACCTATTAAATAAATTATTTACAACATGAAATACAGCATCACATATGTTTTAATGCACTTTCTCTACACACAAAAAGACATTGTTACAGGTGTGAACTTGCATCTTAGTACCAAAGTAATCTCTATAGGAAACCATCTCTTCTTCCTCATCTCATATAAAATTCTAGACTTTATCACTTTACATGCAGGTACTTTTCTAATCATATATCTATCATCTAATAATCTTACAGCAAACTCTCTAAAACAATGCCTGAAGATCTACATTTAAATTCTGATATTTAATCGAATATCTATTGTGATTGTTCATCATATATTTCTAGAACACAAATATAAAAAGCAGTTAACATTTGAAAAAACATATAGTGTACTGTGCAAATAATTATGATAAATAATGTATGTAATGTTTGCAGTGCATTGTGCCTGGAGAGGAAAGACTTACCCTTTCTCTTTATACACGCTTATGGAAAGTTCGATGTATTAGCTGCTGCCATAATATGGATGTGCCTCTCAACAACGACATTTAAACTGTGGAATGTTGCGTTGTGACTTCTTTAGTCAGGAATGTGTATTTATGGTGCTCTATGTGCATATTACAATGAAAGATAAAACGCTTCATGTAAAATGTGACGAGAAACCTGTTTGAGAGCGTGTGTATGACTGAGAGAGCAGGTAGTATCCTTTAGTTATATAAAGATTTCTGTCTGAGTGCAGTGTGAACGGCTGCTTTTTAGCGCAGGCTGCTGGCAGGCATGCAGTCACACAGTGCCCTCCTCTCGGCCCTCAGCACCAAACTCTCCGTCTGAAAACACATGAGATATAAAATCATGTTTGGCTCTCAAATTAATTCTTGTTGTAATGTAAAAGCTGAAGTTGTCCCACATTAGAATAAATATATAGTTAAAGCTAACAAGTCATTTGTCGTAGTGCATCAAGGGGTCCTTGGCCTGAAAAAGACTGCATTGAACGGCTTTGTCTCAGTTGTCTCCAGGTTCATGATCTTACCCGTGAGTCTAAGTTGAAAGCGGTTTTCTTCAGGTCTTGCAAGGCTCTCTGCATGAACTCAAAGGCATGACAATCAACACATGGCCGGCCTATTGAACAAAAATATAAAAACTATAATAGTATATATAAATATTGCTAAAATAACACTGCATTTACCCTTATCACTTTGCTGAGCAAGTTCCCAGGAAACACCAAAGGCTACATGTTATAATGATATATGCAACGATACATGCTTGTTTGACCACAGGTCTATAAAGCATGCGGTCTTACTCTCAGCGGGGATGACCGTCCCTGATTCCTCGGCATGAACTGGTTTGAAACAGAGGAGCTGGATCAGCAGCAGCAGCATCGCTGTCGCTGGAGCTCCGCTTGGCCTCATACTGTCGCGCAGCATCACCGTACACACAACACCTGCACAGATACAGATACAGATACAGATACAGGAGGTGCAACGCTGTCACATTTACTCTTTTAACAGACGCTTTTTATAACAAGGCCTTTTAAAAGACAGACCAACAAAAGCCCAAATAAGATACTGTCGATCATCATATTTGTGCTTTGTTAGCTTTGTCTCTGTACAGCTAAAATATGGTCATTTCTAAATATGTCCACCAAAAATACAGATCCCACTCATGTACAGCAGCAGCAGCATCGCTGTCGCTGGAGCTCCGCTTGGCCTCATACTGTCGCGCAGCATCACCGTACACACAACACCTGCACAGATACAGATACAGATACAGGAGGTGCAACGCTGTCACATTTTTAACAGACGCTTTTTATAACAAGGCCTTTTAAAAGACAGACCAACAAAAGCCCAAATAAGATACTGTCGATCATCATATTTGTGCTTTGTTAGCTTTGTCTTTGTACAGCTAAAATATGGTCATTTCTAAATATGTCCACCAAAAATACAGATCCCACTCATGTACTACGTATTATTAAAGCGAAACGGAGCTTATGTGCATTACCTGTAGTCTCTGATAAAGACAGTAGTACCGTTAGTCAAACCACCGACCTCCTATTCAGGACGCAGTTTCGTTGCGGAGCGTCGATTGCGTTTTTGAGGTCTATTGTCCTTCGCGGAGCACCGTAGGATGGAGTCCAACAAAATATTTTTACGCCCAGGCAACGTTTCTCTCTCTGATTGGTTACCGCAGGTCACATGGCTTCCCACCTTACTCGTTTTGAATGTAGTAATGTAAGTTTAGATTTTTATTATTAGTTAAGAACAGTGCAGCTTTTTAACACATTTTATTTTATTAGAACATTTTTCATAGATAGATAAATAGATATAGGCTTTTTTGTTAAACAATATACTAGATTGAATTGCTACTCAAAGAAGAGGATGTTTTATTTTTTTATGAGTATACTGTTGACTTAATAATGTGGTATATAGTGAATTTACTAATTATATATAGAAAATTCTTCATCCACAAATGTAAATGGAGAGTGAAAAAAACTAATTTTACTCATTTGAAAAATTGAAATCGGTCACCACCTGTATACTTTTATTAGAAACATTAAAAGAAACAAGAAATAACAGTGACAAAAAAAAAACGAAATTATTTTAAATCCTTAAATCTATTATTTGAATAATTTGTAACTATTTTTACTTGTTATGGGCATGTAATTTTTCATTGCTTTTCCTATTTTATTATTTTTTTAATTGTCTGTTTATTATTATACTTATTATATTAATTTATGTTATTGCCCTTGTATGTTCGTTGTTACAAAGATTCCAATAAAAACAAAACAAACAAAGACAGATAGATCGATCTGTTCTGTTCTGTTTTAGGTCAATGTATTCTTTTTGTCTAACAGTATATTTCTGACCAAATTTCACATTCATAAATGCAATGAAGATCAGAATACGATTCATCAATTAAGTTAAAGAAACATCAATTCAATTAGTCATAAAAGCAAAACGCCCTAATTTGGAGAAAATGTGATTTTCAGAAATTCACAGAACAAATTAGCATAACATTTTTATTATTTTTAATCATCAACTGTATACAAAAAAAAAAAACAAGTTTAAAAAAACCACATATGCCAAGGGATAATAGCCAAGTGTTCATACATTACCAAACAAAACACAGCGCCAAAATAAAATAAAAAAACAGAGATAAATAGGGGGGGGGAAAAAACACATCACTTAAAACTCAGATAACATACTGACCATATGTTTTTGTAAAAGTTTCTCTCTGGCTGTGGTCACACGGGTCCTAGCGCGCATTAGTGTGTGTGTCTGTGTGTGTTTTTTAGGTAGCCTGTTAAAATGCCCGATCTCATTATTCGTCTTTTTCCAAGATGGCGTCGATGAGGGAGAGCGACACCGGCCTGTGGCTCCACAACAAACTGGGATCGACAGACGAGCTGTGGACACCTTCGAGCATCGCTTCTCTACTCACCGTGTCGGTCATCGACAACATACGGCTGTGTTTCTCCAGTCTGTCGCCTCCGGTGAAGCTGAAACTCTTGCTGGGGATGCTGCACCTCCCGCGCAGGACCGTGGATGAGGTGCCCTTCAGCCTCTGGGCTTGAGCTAACGCGCTAGCCTCCTTTATGTAAACATGCTGTCAACTTTTGGAGTGTTATTGCTGTTTATTTCTGTGTTTGGGCGCACCCCCCCTAAGAACATGTACCATGTTAACTATAGTTTCCGCCAAAATGCCACAGTTAGTCCAGTCGTTGTTAGTACTGTAAAGCTGTGGTAACTTTGCATAAACTACTAACGTTACTGCTATTAAAAAAAATTACAGAAGTAACGTTTTTCGCGGAAACTGTTTTTGCAGTGCTTTGACTGTGCTTACAGTATTGCCAAAGAATTATAAGTAATGACAAAAAGGCCCTGTATAAAGAGTTTTTTCCCCCTAACAAAATACAAAAAGTGGGAAGTCATGTTTACAGTGTTTCTAAAGCTAAACTTGAAAATACTGTCTGATGTTATGTTTTAGTGAGTTTCATTTGCTAGCATATTTGTTGGCTTTTATGGGCAAATGCATTGAGTGATAAAGCAAGCTTCCATTTTAGTGTCGTATAACTTATGGAAAAACATTTGCAAACTTAATAAATTGTAAATATAAATAAATAAATATTGGATTTATGGTTAAACTATTTAAGGTTTCCTTAAAGTTTGTTACATTGTTGTGGTCCATTGTTTCACTAAATTAGTCTGGAATCCTGTCGTGATTCTTTCTGCGTGTTTTGCCTCAGGGCACTAAAAGGAAGGAAATATACAATAGCAATAATGTAAACAATGCTGGAAAGATATATTTACAATATGAGGCAAATTTCAGTGCAATGGTAGCAGATTAATTTACAGACTGACTAGGTTAAATTCATGTCTAATTCTCTGTCTCTATTGTTCCCTCATATTTCAGATGAAGGAGGCTCTGTCAGAGATCATTCAGCTGGCCACTGTGGACTCTGAGCCGTGGGTGTTAATGGTGGCTGACATCCTGAAATCATTTCCAGAGACTGGCTCACTAAACCTGGACCTGGAGGAGCAGAACCCTAATGTGCAGGACATACTTGGAGAGCTGCGTGAGAAAGGTTTGTCTGAAATCATTGATTGCGGTATTAGAAGAGGGTCAAAGGCTGTTGTTGTTGTGTTTTTTTTTTTGTCAGTTTAATATTTGTCTCTTCTAGGCATGGGCCGGTATGAGATTTTGACAGTATGATAACCTAAAGCAAAAATATCATGGTTTCACAGTATCACGGTATTGTCGTTACAGCTCTAAAATGTGTTATTTTTAAATGACTGGGTTATTTTTTCTTCAATTTGTTTCCTAAAAAGAAGAAAAATAAAGTCTGACATCTTTATTTAACCTAAATCTGTAATTTAATAAAGTTATTTAATTTTAGTTATACAATTCATATACATATCATTTAGTTATATAATTTCATATACATGATTTGATTTAATAATAACCCAATTTGAAGCAAAAACAGAATGTTCTGACTAGCTTTGTTAAATTATACTAAATGCCTGAACGAAGCAAACAGCAGAAGCTCTGAATGAGATGCAGATTCACTCTCTGACAGCAGGAGGCGCTTCTGGAACACCAGATACAGTGTTTCTTTGGTTACTGCCGTAAACAAAGCAGCAATGCGCTGAAACACTGCTTTAATATGAACTATACAGAGACGAGATGAAAAGGAAATACCACAAACTTTTCTGAAGACAGTCAGTTCCCCTCAGAAACACATTCATATAAACCCCCAAATCAATATTGAGGATTTTCTTCCAATAGTTCGTGCATCATGAACAGTGAGTGATCTGCCTGCTACAGTATTTTTCGTCCGTCTTCAATGTCTCTTGCCTGTTAACAGGTGTTTACAGACTTCATATTTTCACATAAATGACATTTTGGAAAATGATTGAATTGCAACGCAGTTTGTGCAAGTCCAGAACAGAGGCGAGTTGCTTGCAATAAGACAAAAAACGTCCGGTTGCCGATCGCATAAGTTCCAGGGGAAGCTCCTTAGTTCGGCCATCCTACACACATGACTGACTGCTCGCTCGCACCAACAGGAGGAGGGTCGTGTTACTCTCTACGCTGCACTCAACATGAGGGATTCCTACACTTTCAGTCTTTGAGGAGACATGAAAAACAGTGCATACTGCAGGAATGGTATAACGGAAAATATTAGCGGTTTTGAAACCGTGACATTTTCAAATCGCGGTATATCTTGAAACCGGTAATCGGCCCATGCCGAACTACACAAAAGAGTTGTTCTTGTCTAGGTCCAGATATTTCTCCAGCCTTGATTATTTTGGATACATATTAGGGAATAGGAATGCTCATTGTATGTATGTGTGTCAGCAGACAGACATCTTTGATAGGTGCACTGTGTCTCACACCATGAGTGTCATGCTTTAAAGACAGTGTGTCTTGTTAAAAATGAAGTTAACAGTGTTCTGAGCACTATATTACTGCCCTGGACTAAAAATCACCTTGTACTCTATTTATTAACTGACTGCAAAAGGCTGCCCAAAATTCCTTTGTGAAACTGCAATATTTATATCTTAAAGTCAGTGTTTTTTATGATTGATCATTGTCCATTATTATTACTCTATATTAAAGTAAGTGACCAAATCAAAAATCGATTCTAAAGTTATTGTGGTTGTCTGGGATTGTTTGTTTGGATTCTTGTTGGCTTTTGAGAGCTAACTTAGCTTTTGCTGACTATTCTCACTAAACAGTCATTTGCAAGTGCATATGCACTTTTGTAAGAAAGGATCTGCTGAGACTTACTGTTGATGCACCCTTTTCCAGTAAATGAATGTGAAGCATCGTCTATGTTGCCTCTGGAGTGTCAGTATCTGAACAAGAGTGCTTTGACTACGCTGGTGGGTCCGCTCACTCCACCCATCAAGCACTTCCAGCTCAAGAGGAAACCCAAGAGTGCTACGCTCAGAGCTGAGCTGCTTCAGAAATGTAAGTGTGTTGATGAATTCTTTGTGCCAGAACAACTGTGTTTTTCTTTTTCAGTACGGATTCATTCAAGTCATTTAAAATGAGTTTACCATACTGTTTGTGTGATGATTGTCATGTTTATTGTCACTGTTTATTATTCATTATATTTGTTTTAAAGCCACAGAGACTGCCCAGCAGTTAAAGAAAACTGCAGGAGTGCCATTCCACTCCAAAGGAAGAGGTCTAGTGAAGAAGATTGACACCACAAGTAAGATTTATATGTATACACAGTGGCCCCAAAAAGTATTTGGATGGGAAAAATGTATGAATGTCATTGCATTAGATAGCTATCTCATCAAAATTTAGGCCATAGGTTTGATATCTTTTTCCATTAGTGGACGATGTCCATAGTTAAAATTATGATTGAGGACTTCATGACTTAATGCATCCACTAAAATAGCTTGGAACTAGTTGGTTAAAAGTTTTATTTTTTCCAATTTGGGGTAACGTTGTATTTCTTTTTAAATGTTGTTTTTACATTAATGTTCAAAAATTTTGTGTCAAAGAAACTAAAACTTTTATTCCGCAGAAACACCTTAAATTAATCAAAAGTAACCGTAAAGACATTTCTAATGTAAACAAATAAATAAATTCTGCTGTACCGAACTTTCTATTCATCAAAGAATCCTGGGGGGAAAAAAATAGTAAGCAGCACAACTGTTTTTAACATTGATGATAATACAAAATATTACTTTAGCACTAAATCAGCATATTAGAACGATTTCTGGATCACGTGACTCTGGAGACTGGAGTAATGTCTGCTAAATATTCAGTTTTGCCATTACAGAGTCAACTTATTTTAAAATATATTAAAATAAAACATTTTAACAACTGTTTTAAATTATGAAAATATTTTACAATAATACTGTGGGTTTTTTTTATCAAATAAATGCAGCCATAAGAAACTTAGCGACCCCAAACCTTTGAACAGTAGTGTACATATGTTCTCTTAACAACACACAAGATTTCTAATAATGATTGTCTCTCTACTTTCAGCGCCTCTGAAGGGCATTCCCAAAGCACCATTCCGCAGCCCTACCACCCCAAGCATGTTCAGCCCTCCCAGTAACAGAACCCCTATCGCCCCTGCCCGCACACCCCTGCGCAAGGAACGGGGAGTCAAGGTAACTGTCCGTCAATGACCAGTTATAAAATCAGTGAACAACATGGTATATATAATAGGTTTAACCCTTTACTAAATGGTTAAGAGCAAAACGCTGTCACAGGTAACACCTGGATTTATGAATCGTGAATGGATTTTTACCTTCTTAGTATGGATGTCAATCATATGCTTTATATTGTCAGGTTATGTGATTGTGTGTTTTTTTTTGCAGTTGTTGGATATATCTGAATTGGATATGGTAGGAGCTGGGAGAGAAGCTAAGAGGAGAAGAAAGACTTTAGGTAAGTTTAAGAAGATTATTCAGTTACATAGACCCTGCACCTCTGAACTGATTGACTTAAAGACCAGCCCACACTCCTCTGTGCTGTACATTTGAGTTATAATATTTTTTTTGGTCTTGTTCAGACACAGAAGCTGGAGAAAAGGCGGCCAAAGAAGAGGCGGTGGTGGAGAACGCAACGCCAGACTACGCAGCAGGCCTGGTGTCCACACAGGTAGTTTTGGAAATCTTTTTAGCCATTTGATGAATGCTTTAAATGTAAGTCCGAACAAAACTCAAATGGGTTTCTCTGCTCCTTTTGACAGAAACTTGGGGCACTAAACAACGAGAGTGCCCTGCCATCAACCAGTTACCTTCCCGCCACCCCCAGCATGGTTCCTTCCTCGTCTTATATTCCCAGCTCAGAGACACAGCCAGGTGAGCCATCGACAGATGCAGGATGGGATGAATGCAAAGAAATTATCTAAAGTAGAAAATGTATTAATAAGACACAAGATAATCAGATATTAACAGGAAGCCAAGCTAAATGTGCCGCTAAATTTTTTTGCCTTCATACTTAGCAAATGCAGGTGGTTCAGGGCGTGAAACTACAAACCGGCAGTCAGAGGAGTCGACCGCCCCAAGTGCCACTTCTGCTTCATTACCCGGCCAGTTTAAACAGCGGCCGCCCATGTACAATGCCAGCACTGCCATTCCCACGGCCCCCACCTCACCCACCACACCAACCAGCACGCCCAGCAACAATGCCCCACCCCCCGCCGCCACAGCAGCACAGCCAGACATGCCCACGCAGCCGCCCACCACTGCATCCCAGCCTGCACCCACGCCAGCACCCCCACAAACCCAACCGAAAAAGAACCTGTCGCTCACGGTAAAAACCTCTCTGATTCATGGATGTGATAATGTTATTTTACTGGACTGTTCTGCTTTCTTTAAAGGAGACATATTATGCCCCTTTTTACAATATGTAATATAAATCTCTGGTGTCCCCAGAATGTGTATGTGACATTTCAACTCAAAATACTCCACAGATCATCTATTATATCATTTTGAAAATGCCTAGTTTGAGTGAAAGCAGAAACATGCTGTCTTTCGGGCCTGTCTCTTTAAATGCAAATGAGCTGCTGCTCCCTGCCCCATTTTCCTGAATAGAGCTGCGTCATTACAGCTAGTACCTGCTAAAAACATCAGTTTTGGTTCTGATTATCATGTTTATCGTGCTGAAATCATGCTTTTTAAACCACATTAGTTTAAACTTCTGATACGGTTTTCTGAGAGCACACAACCGAAGCACACAGACAGAAAGAGGCTGTCACAGCATGTGAGTACTAAACTAAGTTCTCATTCACACACAAGTTTACGTTAAAAACACACATGAGTTACAAATAACAGTCGGTTATGTCTGTGAAGGTAAACAGCTGGGAAATAAATCGCATGTTTATTTTAGATCTGTGTGGCAGCAGCATTATACAGTAAATAAATCAATAAATCCACTGCTTGTCTCCTCTGAGGCTGGGACTCTAAATAGTGTTCTGTGCTCATCTGTGCAGCCAAAGACAGAACAGTTAGCATGTTTTGCTCAAACTTTCGCCATGGCATTAGAACTAGTACACCGTTGTCGCTTGCGAAAACACAATAACGGCGACGTGGGTGTAAATTTACAGATTAAGGGGCGGTAATATTATAATGAGATACCTTTATCACGACACCAAGGAAACAAAATCAGATGTGCTCATTTTCTCAGACGCTTGCAGAAAAAGGCTTCCCAAAACAAAGTTACTGGGTTAATCTTTTTCACATTTCCTTGGTTGGTAGGGGACCTGATAATAGCACTTAAAACCTGGAAAAGTCAGATTTTCATGATATGTCACCTTTAAATGTTACTAGACAACACTTTTATTCAGAAATTTCATTAATAGGTGTTTTGAGAAAATTGTAGTTCAAAAAATTGTAGTATTTCAGAAGTTAAATTGTAATTTTGTGCCCTTATTATAGCCGTTGACACTGAGAATGACAATGAATCTGACATTCAAAAGTTTGGGTTTATGCAAAAAAAAAAAAAAGAGGAAGGAAGTCTCTCGTGCTAATCAAGAGCATCCAAGCTTTTAATTGGGTAATACTACAGTAAAAACAGTAATATTGTGAAATATTATTTGAATTTAAAATTACTGTTTTCAATTAAAAAGTATTTTTAAAAGATTTTTTGATGAATAGAAAGTAAAAAAACAGCATTTATTTGAAATAGAATTATTTTGTTATGAATGTCTTTACTGTCACTTGTGATCAATTTAATGCATCCTTGCTGAATAGAAGTATTAATTTTAGTCATACTAACCTCAAACTTTGGAATCATAGTTTACAGTCTGGGAAGTTACATTTTTATCTTGCATGTTTGGTTCCCCACAGAGAGAACAGATGTATGCTGCGCAGGAAATGTTCAAGACTGCAAACAAAGTTACACGGCCAGAAAAAGCCCTCATCCTGGGCTTCATGGCAGGATCTCGAGGTATTATGGGTTTGATTTTATCAGATTTTTTTTACTGTTACTTACTGTTCCTCTATTTTCTTAATGACCCTTCTAATGTTTGTCTGTCCCTTCCTCCCAACAGAAAACCCCTGTCCAGAGCAGGGTGACATCATTCAGATCAAACTGAGCGAGCATACAGAAGTACTGCCTAAAGCGGACGGAACCGGCAGCACCACCATGCTGGTGGACACAGTGTTTGAGATGAACTACTCTACTGGGCAATGGACCCGCCTCAAGAAATACAAACCCATAACCAATGTCTCCTGAGGAGGACCGGGTTAACAAACACACACTCATTTGCTCAACATGTATACATTCACACACCCCTCTTCAACGCCACCTGAGGAGTGCTTTAAAATACAAATTTCATGTACATGCGCTGTACATATTTACGGGCCAAATTCTGAGGTGTATTGGGAATATGCGCTAGTGAATTTCTGGATATTGGTTTCAGACAGTTGAAAAGGAGTTCCTGTTTGGTTGACCTCATGTCCTATCTCTTTTCCTGCGTTGCCAAAGACAGGGACCTCTTATAAGACAGCTGTTTTCTTTATCTTTTTGTTAATGATTGTATCGTCTCTCATTTTTAGGCCCATTTCAGATTTCTTAGTGTCTGGGAAATGAGGCGAAATTGAGGCGGGGCTTGTTAGTTTGTGTCTTAACCTACTTTTGATTGACATGTTATTAAGAGATCTTAAAAGGGTACAAACATACTATTACAGTGTGTCCTATGAACGAAACAAAAAAATCTGTCCGTGTTTTCACACTGAGAATGTTTAAAACGTTTTCACGTTCCTCCTTGAACAGACAAAAAAAAGAAAACAATAAACAAAGTGTAAAACAGGTTCTTTTTTGTTTAGTACTCTTCAAGAACATTCTTTTTTTTAAAAAGGAGGAAATAAATTAAAACGGGTCCAGATTTGAATGAGTCGTTTGCTGAAGCTTTAGTGTAAATAATATTGTATTTATGTTGCACTGTACAATCACAGTCACAACCCGAATCACTGCCTTTCTAACAACCTTCTAGTTGTTGCTAGTTATTTTTACATTTTATTTGTGTGCAAAATCTAAGACACATGTTGAACAGATTTTAATGACATAGGTGGCGAATTCTGTATGAAGTAATCGTTGGTACAATACATTTTTTAAGTGGAAAAGCGATTCCAGCTGAATGTTTAGACAGTAAGGTTTAATTTAAGACTTATTCTACAAATGGTTTAAAATTAAGTCAATATACGCCTTAACTCAAAGCTATTTGGATGGTTTTGTTACATTCAGTATGCAGTAGCAATAACAATAATTTTTTTAATTGAGTGAAAATGTGTTCTGCCCATCTCACATTGACTACACTTAATGACAGGGTCTTTTTCAATACAAGAATACCTTAAAGACAACATTCACAATACCTGTTACACAGTGTCCTTTTGTTTGACTGAAATCAGGTAGGATGCAAATAACTAGTTAGAAAAGCCCAGAATGCATTTTCCTCTTGTTCATATTTATTAATAAATCTGCTTGTATAGATCTGCTAAAATGATTACAATATTTTGCAAGTCATGTCTAAATATTAACTAAAAAAGGCCATAGCTTTTTAACCACTTATTTGTTTTAAAGGGATAGTTCACCCAAAAACAATTTCTGCCGTCATTTACACACCCTCATGTCGATCCAAATCTCTGTGACTTACTTTCTTCTGTGAAACAAAAGATATTTTGAGAAATGTTTCAATGGGCACCAAAACTGTTTGGTTACCAGCATTCTACAAAATATCTTTGTTATTTCATAGAAAAAAAGTCTTAAAGGTCTGAAACGATACGAGACATGAGTACATGATTTTTTTTGGGTGCCTGTCCCTTTAAATGAACTGGATGAAGCAGTGTTGGTTGAGATTGTCTTTTTACATGCTATGCCATGCCTATAGTTCCAGCATTTTCTCCAGTGTCTTCAGTGCTTAAGCCATTCCAGGATCGACCCAGCCTCCAAAAGCCTTCTCTAGGTAGAGCGCCACAGCCAAAGGCAGATGGTCTTGAAGCTTCCCAGCCACCACCTGAACGCCCAAAGGCAATCGCTCCTTACTCATACCCAGTGGACACTGGGTCACCGGCAGGCCTAAGATGTTCAGGATCCCTATAGAAATGGGTAAAATGGTTTTCAAATATATTGTTGTTTTCTTTGCTCCATCTACTACTGTTACACACATTTGTTATTGATTAGCCTTGCTGCAACTATACTGATTTTAAACTTAAACATCTATTAAAAGTCCATTCCTGTTTGACCACTCTTATAATGGCTCCTGATATATTTAGTAACTTCTCTTTGCAAATCCACTAAAATGACTGCTTAAGCAATCGTTACCTGTGTAACCGATGTTGTATGGAGTAAAAAGGGGATGGTGGTGTTTGGGTGCGAGTAGAGGATGAGAGGGGTACAGCAGCACTCCATCTGTCCCCAGCAGCTCCTCCATCTCTTTCTGCAGTTCTTCCATTTGTTTTAGGATGAACTGAGATGGCTTAGAGCTGTGCGAACTCTCCATCAGAGCCAAACCTGAAATCAGCAACAAGAGAAAAACATGTCCAGCATTAAGTCTCCTCCAGGTTGTTAGTTCGAAAGACATTTTAAGGACAAGAACAGAACAAGACCTAATTATCCCAATAACTCTGAGCAACCACAGTTAAAACGTGACTGTTTCCCTAAAAACTATACAGTATATACATCAGTTTTAGAGTCAGAATTATTAAATTAGAACTAAAACCATAAAAACATGTTAGTTATTTGAAATAAAATATTAACTGAAAAAGTATTAAAAACTTTAAATTATTTTTAGCATTTCATATTTTTATTTAGCTAAAACCTAAAATAAACTACAAAAATAAAAATGACAAAAATGCACAATAAAATGACAAACTTTAAAATTAAATTAAACACTGGAAATATACAAAAAAAAGCTAATTCAAAATACTGATAAAAACTATAGTAGTATCTCAATGAAATGCTACCAATGAGCATATGGTTTACCAATAGCAGCCACAGTGTGTTCAGATCTTCCAAAAATCCTCTTTATCAGCTCCCAAAAAGGCCACACAGAGCCTCCATCTGCCATTAGCTCAACAAAAGGCTGTGGAGGCTGGAATAAACACAAACGCACACTCAAACGTGCTCTCATTCTCTGAGTGTACTACTTTTGTTGTTATAAGCACTTGTGGTTGCTACAACCTTTTGTTACAACCTTTAATAAATTTAATGTCAAGGCAACATCAGGTAGGCCTACTACACCTTGCCATCTTTGTCAGGTAGAGCCAAGAATGTGTCCCAGATCTGAAAAGAGTATTTGAGTTGAGGAAAACTAACTTCCTTAACCGTAACTCCCAGATCTGCCTCTAAGCGTGCAGCCACCTATGATCAGAAACGATAAAAAACGAACTTTTCAAATAAAGTACTTTACATATATTCAGCAATGCAACTGATTACAGAAGCATTCTTGCTTATTTATGTTATGCATGTATTATATGTTCTTCTTACCCTTTTTTGAGCTTGAATGAGCTGGTTATCTACTGGAGATGTCAGTGGAGATCCACCATCATCTACTACAGTGAAGAAACGTAAGTTTTTCAGTTCCACCTCTTCTGAGAGGGAGAGCCTATAGAAAATATATACTTGGTGTCAAAACTGACTTGTAGAAAAATGATATTTGTGTTATCTGGTTAATATCTTTGTCAGATGTACTTGTCTGCAGTGGGTCCAGCCATAATCTTCAGAAGAGGGAGCAGGTCTTCAGCGTAGCGACACATTGGACCAGAACCGGAGTAGTCATTTTGGAGCCCCGTGCATGAAGGAAACTGACTGTCATTTGACACCACATCTAAAAGGTAATAAAACTCACTCTCTTTATGAGCTATACAGATTTTTTCCCTACTAACAGAAAGATTGTGTTTTTTGCTGATTGTTCCCACAGCAAAACACATACCTTTTGAAGGTTTATGGCCGAATATCCCATTGAAAAAACATGGCATGCGGATACTTCCTCCAATGTCAGAACCGATGCCTATCACAGATGCACCACCACCAATGATGCTTCCCTCTCCGCCTACCAGAGAAAGAATTGGTGTTTATTACAATAATATCATATATGTTTTGTCAACCTTTCAACATAAACCTGAACATGAGTGCAAAATCATTGACTAATACAGTCTAATTTTTGTACAGTCAATTTATATAAGGTTTATAAAACACTGTTTTTCTTAACCTACTAACAGAAAGATTGTGTTTTTTGCTGATTGTTCCCACAGCAAAACACATACCTTTTGAAGGTTTATGGCCGAATATCCCATTGAAAAAACATGGCATGCGGATACTTCCTCCAATGTCAGAACCGATGCCTATCACAGATGCACCACCACCAATGATGCTTCCCTCTCCGCCTACCAGAGAAAGAATTGGTGTTTATTACAATAATATCATATATGTTTTGTCAACCTTTCAACATAAACCTGAACATGAGTGCAAAATCATTGACTAATACAGTCTAATTTTTGTACAGTCAATTTATATAAGGTTTATAAAACGCTGTTTTTCTTAATTTTTTTTTTTTTAGCAAGACCTGAGCTTCCTCCACACATCCTCTCGAGGTCATAGGGGTTACTGGTGATCCCATAGAGGTGGTTGCTGGACTCCATCCACATGCAAAGCTCACTGGTGTTGGTGACTCCCAGAGGAATTGCTCCAGCTCTCTTCAACAGAGCCACAGGAGGAGCATCCACACTGGCAAGTACTTTACCGCGGGATTTCAACCCGCCAGAATTGGGCATACCTGTTGCAGCAGTCAGATAACATGAATCAATATCATTTCTATTATCCTTTTCAGTTCTATAATTATCAAGCTTGTCTCTATGAGTGAGCAGTAGAGGAGTGTGGGAAAAATGTATCCATCCTGGATCAACAAGCAGCATTTACTAATACAATTGATAGTAATATTGATAGGAAACATTATAACCATTCAAATAAATGTTTTATGTCCATGTGTTATATTTTTAGTGAACAGTCATTTGATAAGCAGGAATGAATCTCAAAATAAACCTCTTTAGGGTGATACTGATACATGCAAGGCAGAGAACATTATGGGAAATGTACCCTGTAGAGCGAATGACTCTTTAACAGACAGAGGAACTCCCAGCAGAGGAAATCGGTTCCTCAGACCTTCCTCTCCTCCATTCTCCTCCTCTATTAGTTTATCTGCACGAGCAGCCTCCTGAATGGCGAATGAGAACCTGAAAGAGAGGACAGTGTACACTTATAGTGAAATGTCCTGTACAGTCATGTATTAACATTGTTATGCCTCACTAAAGCAAGTGCTCACCTGTCTTTGACCAAAGCATTGAGCAGTGGGTTCACCTCCTGTATCCTATCAATGTAGGCCTGCACAACCTCTACACTAGTAACCTAAACTTACAAATTAAATAGATTAATATTCAATATTACAAAAGACCATGGCAAAACACAGAATTTCTGATTCTTTTAGTCTAGTTCAGTCTGCAGTGGTGAATCTGTAAGTGTAGTGATGTTGTTTGAGGACTTATAAGCACTTACATTATCAGAGGCCCGTTAAACATTGGGTTTAATATATTTTGCCCCGCCTGTAGGCTAAAGTGTTATTACTGGCTTTGGATACTAATCATTTTTAGTAAGTTTACTAAATATGTCTCATATCTCATTTGAAAATTGTTCCTTGTTGGCATCTTTGGTTCCATGAAAAACCTTTAACATCCATAGAACATTTCCATTCCACAAAAGGTTCTTTAATTATATTTAGATTAGTAAATATAATTATTTTAAGAACTGTTTTCTGAAGTTCAAAATAGTTTTTCTATGGCATCACTGAAAAAAAGGAACCTTTTTGAACCTTTTGAGTGTATATCACGTTGCTGATATATGTGACATATGTGACCCTGGAGCACAAAACCAGTCTTAAGTCGCTGGGGTATATTTGTAGCAATAGCCAAAAATTCATTGTATGGGTCAAAATTATCCATTTTTCTTTTATGCCAAAAATCATTAGGATATTAAGTAAAGATCATGTTGCATCAAGATATTTGGTAAATTGCCTACCGTAAATATATCAAAACGTAATTTTTTATTAGTAGTATGCATTGGCGAGTAAGGCGATTTTCTCAGTATTTTTATTTTTTTTGCACCCTCAGATTCCAGATTTTTAAATAGTTGTATCTCATCCAAATATTGTCCTAACAAACCACACATCAATGGAAGAAAAGCTTATTTATTCTTAGCGCTGTGTTCGACACTGTAGATCATGACATACTTATAGATCGATTACAAAACTATACAGGTATAAGACAGAGATATTACTTATTGGACCAAAAGACAGTATGCAGAATCTTTTGGATTACAATTTGCAACTAGGAAGTACTGTTACTTCCTCTACAGTCAAAAATCTGGGTATTATATTAGATAGCAACAAATCCAAGTTAATACTTTGATCTAAGGAGGATCTCTTTCTAGTCAGATCTACAACACAGTGATGTATCTGGTGTCTGTAAAATATTTAAGGCCTTTTGTCTATGCACATCTTAATATAAATGATTTTATCATCATCCAAAATGAATAGTCCTTTTTACTGTCCCATTGTGCAATACTTCTGTTAGCAGAATTGTTCTATAAACTGACATTTAAACAAAAATGTTTCCTTCCTAATCCTTGTAATATTTGTGATGGTTTGTTAGTTAAAAAGGGATAAAACAGCATAGCACTAATTGTATATTAATTGGGCAACACTTTACAATAAAGTCCCATTATAGTCAGTTAATGCATTAACTTACAGTGAGCATACATTTGTTACATTCATATTTGTTAACTTTAGTTAATAAAAATACAACTGTTTGTTGTTATTTAATGTTAGCGCAAGTACATTTGAATAATATACTATATATTGAAATTAACACGAAGCAAGATTAATAAATGCTTTAGAATTATTTTTCATTGTTATTTCATGTTAACTAATGCAGTTAACTTAAGTTAACAAATGGAACTTTTTTTGTAAAGTGTTATCTGATATTTATAGTGTTATTTATTATATTTTTCCATAGTAAATTAGGTTTTTTGTTTATAAAAATGATATATAATATCATTTTTTTTAAAAAGACAAAAATGTTTTTATTCACATGGGGGAAAATCATACTTTAAATATGTATTCTTCAAGTCGTATTGTTGTTAAAATCATGACTGATTTCATTCTAGTTTTCCCCTCTCGTATGCAAATAATATCTAAGAAACAAGTGCAATGAAACTGATATTGTTTCAGTCATGCTTCCCCCAGCAGATCTAGAGTATTATTTGTTCCAGAGTATTATTTGTTTGAAGAAGTACTCTTTCTTCTGGTATGTCCAGCCACCTAATAAACAAACATTTCTTCCAGCTGATTAGATATTCTTCACAAATGGTCCCAACAACAAATGTTGTGTTAACCTTCTTCATGGCCTAATATAAAACAGATATGTATCAAACACATCCATAGAAGAGGAATACTTAATCTGTTCCATATAATGAAAATATGGGAGGAGCTATGAGACTGATGTAGCTGGGTGGAAACTTTCAGTGAAATGAAACCAACCATCTGCAAACTGAAAACCAACAATCTAGAAACCTTTTTTACCTTTAAACAACAAAATGTTTAGCTATCCATTTGCACGCAAGATGTATGCGAGGACAGCTGATACTCAAAGGTATGTGATAGAAATATAGGATAGAAAAAAATGTTAGTGGTTCTTATTCAGTGTATGGTATAAAACAGAGCAATCCAGGAATCATGAGTCAAATGCTCAGCTAGTTGTCTTTTGTTACAGCACTAAAATAATATCAGAATTGTATTAAATGTATGTAATTTTGCTTGCTTCTAAAAAGACGAAAAGTATGTTGTCATTTTCTCTCACATTTTAAAGACTTGAGAAGCAGGAAGTATATGAGCAGACTGACTAAATACAGACCAGTGAAAGTGTCATCATGTTTACAGCCATTTATTTATATAATTTAAATCGTTTGAATTCCTGTCAAAGTCTGTCCAAGGATATTTCAGCCTTCAAAATAACAAGTTTTCCCCCATGATTATTGCTAACATGAGATGAAAACATTTAATATGAATTTTAATTATATGAACATATTTATTTATTTTAATTATTTTGAAAATAAACATGCATACAACATATTTGGATATCTTTAAGTTTTAAGAAGTATGTGTGTTTTACTCTTATGAATGGTGATGATTTTTGCTGTAAATAAGACCTGATGTGTGTTTTTTATTATTTATTTAAATATTCAAAAGGGCGAAAGCAATGGCAGAATCTCTAAATCCACAAGAGAAAAGGAGGAATTTATCTTGTAAGTCAGTAACCTTCATAAAATAATGGATTATTGATCTGAAGGTTTTTTTTTTATTTAATGTGAGAAATGTACTTTTTATATCTCACTTATATCTCGTTTTTCAGCCCTGGCGTCCTCCACTGGTTCTCTGACTGAGGAGCTCCAGTGTTACATCTGTCTGGATGTGTTCACTGATCCAGTCTCCACTCCATGTGGACACAACTTCTGCAAGATGTGTCTGAAAAAATGCTGGGACAACAGTCACGACTACAGCTGCCCAATTTGTAAAGAATCATTCAAACAAAAACCTAAGCTCAAGGTCAATACAACAATCAGAGAGGTTGTAGATCACTACAAAAAGAAAAATCATCTGGAAATGCCTGCGGTGTTGTGTGATATCTGTACAGAGACAAAACAGAAAGCCCTGAAGTCGTGCCCTACATGTCAGAGCTCTTTCTGTGAGGCTCACCTGGAGCGTCATTTGAGGGTTCCAGGTTTAAAACAACACAGACTGATAGATCCTGTAAAAAGTCTCCAGGATCATTTGTGTCAGAAACACGACAGACCTCTGGAGCTGTTCTGTAGAGATGATCAGACATGTGTGTGTGTGATCTGCACTGTGACCAAACACAAGACTCACAACAATGTTCCTGTAGAGCAGGAGAGTGAAGTGAAAAGGGTAGGAAATACCAACATGAAAACATTTAAAAATGTTACTCAGTTACTCAAAATAAGATGTGCAGTCCCTTAGTTTTTATGTATACATATATGAGTACATATGTATATGTAATCCTCGTTTTTTTTCCAGGATAGCTTTTAATTTATTTTACTTTATTATTTTGTATTTATGTATGTTTACACTTTTTTAGAAATATGTTTTATTACACCTGATAACTCTTGTTTACTTTAAATGCCTTGTGAAGCTTGCTTTTAATTATTATTCTCTGGCCGTAGAGTCAGCTGATAAAGACTCAGACAGATGTGCAGCAAATGATCCAGGACCGAATGAAGAAGATTGAACAAATCCAACACTCAGTAAAGCTCAGAAAAGTAAGTTTATATATTCAAGTTTATTAAAATCATCATGTGTCAGATTCATGAAAAAAACATTACTTTTTTGAAATGCACATATCTGACAAATCAAGAATGAAGAAGATTGAACAAATCCAACACTCAGTAAAGCTCAGAAAAGTAAGTTTATATATTCAAGTTTATTAAAATCATCATGTGTCAGATTCATGAAAAAACCATTACTTTTTTGAAATGCACATATCTGACAAATCAAATATATATATATATATATATATATGTATGTTTTTAATTTGATTTGTCAGATGTTTGCATTTCAAAAAAGTAAAGTTATTTTCATAAATCTGACTAATCAGAAAAACACTGAAAAAGAGAAAGCAGACAGCGTTGAGCTGTTCACTAGTCTGATCTGCTCCATTGAGAGATGTCAGTCTGAGCTGCTGGAGGTGATGGAGAAGAAGCAGAAAGCAGCAGAGAATCAGGCTGGAGAGCTGATTAAAGAGCTGGAGCAGGAAATCACTGAACTAGAGAGGAGAAACACTGAGCTGGAGCAGCTCTCACACACTGAAGATCACCTGCACCTCCTACAGGTCAGTGTCTCTCTCTGCTCACATCACAGGACAACACTTAAAGGAACACTCCACTATTTTTGAAAATAGGCTCATTTTCCAGCTCCCCTAGAGTTAAACAGTTGAGTTTTACCATTTTCTAATCCATTCAGCCGATCTCCGGGTCTGGCGGTAGCACTTTTAGCTGTAGCTTAGCATAGATCATTGAATCTGATTAGACCGTTAGCGTCTCGCTCAAAAATGACCAAAGAGTTTCTATATTTTTCCAATTTAAACTTGATTCTTCTGTAGTTACATCTTGTACTAAGACCGACGAAAAATTAAAAGTTGCGATATTTTCTAGGCCGATATGGCTAGGAACTATACTCTCATTCCGGCGTAATAATCAAGGAACTTTGCTGCCGTACCATGGGTGCAGCAGGCGCAATGATATTACACAGAGCCTGAAAATAGTCCGCAGCACGCTCCCTGTGCAAGCAGGTGGTCACGTTGGTTATGTTGACGGAAGTTAGCCTATTTTCAGGCGCTGCATAATATCATTGCGCCTGCTGCACCCATGGTACGGCAGCAAAGTTCCTTGATTATTACGCCGGAATGAGAGTATAGTTCCTAGCCTTATCGGCCTAGAAAATATCGCAACTTTTCATTTTCCGTCGGTCTTAGTACACGATGTAACTACAGAAGAGTCAAGTTTTAAATAGGAAAAATATAGAAACTCTTTTGTCATTTTTGAGTGAGATGCTAACGGTCTAATCAGATTCAATGATCTATGCTAAGCTACAGCTAAAAGTGCTACCGCCAGACCCGGAGATCGGCTGAATAGATTCGAAAACGGTAAAACTCAACTGTTTAACTCTAGGGGAGTTGGAAAATGAGCCTATTTTCAAAAATAGTGGAGTGTTCCTTTAATATGCTAAGGGATTTCTCTCTCTCTCCTCCTTTAGATTTATCCATCCCTGTGCAGCCCTTTAGACACCAAAATCTGGGCTGGGATCTGTATTAATACTTGTGTGAGTGTGGAGACTCTGAGAAGAGCTCTGACTCAGCTGCAGAAGACTCTAGATGAGAAACTCAGTCAAACAGGTAGTTTTACATATTCTTATTTCACAATTAATGGCTTAGTTAATCAGCAGTTACAGAATGATCAAACTTCATAGCACATATAAAGCATCCACTTTAGGAAATCAGTTTTCATAAAGGCAGTTTTTGTTGCAATTGTAAGGTTGTTGCATTCATTTATTATTAAATGAGCACATACACTCATCTAATCACATGCATCAAGCTTCAGAGTATTAGTTCTTCTTTCTGTCAGGCTGCTCAATCCCAAATGCAAGCTAAACATTTTTAAAAGCAAATTCAATTCATAAATGTGTCTGAATGTAAATAAAGTTCTCATTATCTTTTGTTATCATGTATGTCACAGTGTTGAAGAGACTACAGCAGTATGCAGGTACAGTGTTTGATCCTATTCACTCACATTCGCTTACAGTACCTTAAAGGAATAGTTCATCCAAAAATGAAAATGTACACACCCACAGGCCATCTAAGATGTAGACGAGTTTGTTTTTTCATTGGAACAGATTTGGAGAAATTTAGTAATCACTTGCTCACCAATGGATCCTCTGCAGTGAATGGGTGCCGTCAGAATAAGAGTTCATACAGATGATACAAAACATCACAATAATCAACAAGTAATCCATGTGACTCCAGTCCATCCATTTGTTTCAAAAATTGTGATGTTTTTATCAGCTGTTTGGAACCTCATTTTGACGGCACCCATTCACAAGTGATAAAGTTCTCCAAAACTGTACATTTACATTTGAAAGTTATTTACATCTTAATAATAAACAGAGTAGCGGTTATGTGTATTTGGCGTGCTGTCCAAGGGGAGGGCTTCGAGCTCGGAATTTAGAGTAACACCCCCCCCCCGCACCTCTCCTGTTAATTAGGTTAATTATCTGAACATGCTCCTCCCGAACTTTGTTAATAAAACATAATTTAGTAACACATTTTCATTTTGGGTGAACTAACCCTTTAAATGATCTGATAAGGGCAGCATTCCAATTTTCCATTATTAGCACTCAGTTATTCAAAATTAAACGTAAAAATATTTCTGCTCTGATGCAGTGATTTAAATTCTCTCTCTCAGTGGATGTGACTCTGGATCCTGACACAGCTCACCCTGAACTGATCCTGTCTGAAGATGGAAAAAAAGTGCGACATGGAAACATAAAACAATACTGCCCAGACAGTCACAAGAGGTTTGATAAATATATGATTGTCCTGGGAAACGAGGGCTTTTCATCTGGGAGGTTTTATTTTGAGGTGCAGGTTAAGGGAAAGACTCAGTGGAATTTAGGTGTGGCAAGAGAATCCATTAACAGGAAGGGGACGCTCAACCTGTGTCCTGAAAGTGGTAATTGGACTTTGTGGCAAAGTAACGCAAAAGAGTATAAAGCTTGTGAATCTTCCCCTGTCTCTCTCTCCCTGAATGTGAAGCTTCAGAAGGTGGGTGTGTTT